GAACAGCCGTATGATTTTTATACACCAATTCTAAGATAGATTCTTCTAGATTGTTTTAGAATTATCACTTTTACAATATTTAGAAAATCTTGAAACTTACAAGCTTTGTAAAAGTTCGAATATTTATAGTATTGGAGTTCTTCTTTGGGAAATTTCAAGCGGAACTGTCCCATTTGCATCGGAACTGCTTCATGGATTTAGTTTATTGAAAGCAATTATTCGTGGTAAACGTGAAGTTATAATTCCCGGAACGCCTAAGAAGTATAGTAAAATCTACATGGGTAAGTCAATTACGTATTTGATATTGTGCAAAATTTTGGCAATTTTTTAATATTCAAAATTCTGGCATTTACTTTTTAGAATGTTGGCAACATGACCAACGTCCAACAATTCAAAGTGTTTCTAATGATTTAAATAATATTGTCTATAATGATTTATTCGATATTGAAGAAAGTTGTATAGAATCTAATGACAATATAGAACATAAACAAAAACCAACAATAGAATTGGAGGATTCAAATTCAACAGACGTATTACAACAGCATACTAATTTATATAAAGATATTAATGAAGAATTAAAATTAATGTCTTCTATTGTCACAACTCTTGAAAAATCCTTAAATGAAGATATTAAATCTGAATTATTCGAAGATCATTACATGCCGATATTACCCGCAAAACCATCACAAAAACCAAGTAAACAAATTGCGAATAACAATGAGCAGCAACAATTTCTTTATGATTTAAATAAGTTATTTATGGTTCAATTTAATATCCAGGGGGTTTCAAAAGGTACTTCAAGTTCTATAGTTTATTGGATAGAAAAATATATAGATGAAAATGATAAAAATCCAAATGAAATCCTTGTTCAATATTGTAGTCATCAGTATAGGTCTTGTTTTACTAGCATTATCGGATTTTTTTATGAATATGGAATTGGAACTGAAATTGACTATAACAAGGCATTTGAAATGTATAAGCAAGCAGCTGATGATTTTTGCTTTACCGCCAATGATTCTTTAAATAACCAAAGTCATTTTTATGATTTATTAAAAGAAAATCAGTTTATTGGTTTAATTTCCCTTGGGTCTCTTTATAGATTAGGAAAAGGCATTGCTGTAAATCAACAAAAGGCCCTTCAATTATTTTTAAAGTCAGTTGCTAGGGGCTCCACTTTGGGAAAGTGCTATGTTGGTGACTGTTATTACTTTGGTCATGGTGTTATTGAAGACAAGATTCAGTCATTTTATTGGTGTTTAGAAGCTGCAGAAGGAGGAAATGCAAGAGCACAAAATATAATTGGGTATAGCTATCAGTGTGGTGAAGGCATTACCAAAAATGAAAAAGCAGCTTTAGAATGGTATATGAAGTCAGCTGAACAGGGTAATTATCTTGGATATTGCAATCTTGGTCGTTGTTATCAAGAGGGTATAGGAACTGTTATTGATGAAAAGAAAGCTTTTGAATATTATGAGAAATCTGCTGAGGGATTAAATGGGTCTGGACAAAACCGTCTTGCCTCTTGTTATCAATACGGCAAAGGAACTTTGAGAAACGACAAGAAAGCTTTTGAATGTTATATGAAATCTGCTGAAGGGGGAAATAGCCAAGGACAAGATAATCTTGCTCATTGTTATGAATCTGGAATTGGAACATTTAAAAATCAAAAAAAAGCTTTCGAGTGGTATAAGGAATCTGCTGAAAATGGATGTAAAAGCGGACAACAAAATCTTTCTAGGTGTTATCAACAAGGAATAGGAACTTCCATTGATGAAAAGCTGGCTTTTCAATGGTTGATGAAAGCTATTGGAATTAGTTTAGAACATAGTAATCTTAATTATAATTATACATTTAGCCAAGAAACTTTTTCAGAAGAAAAAATTGCTATGGAAAGTTTTAATAATCAACCTTATAGATACAGTCTGCCCTCATTATAACATAGTGATCGGGCTGGAAAATTTTATCTATTATAAATCCGTTATAATGAATAACTGTCATAACATTATATAATATAACAGTAAAAATTTTAAATTGTTCTTAAAAATTTTAAAAATTTTAGATTTCTCCGCTATAGCAATGGATCTGCTATAAAAAATCTGTTATAACGAGGGTAGATTGTATAATGAGAAAACAAATTAGATTGTTATGACTAAAAATCGAAACCGTCTAAAATTTATATATATCGTTTAACCATTTAACCGCTTACTTAATTCAGCCAGCATTAAAACAATTCGGCTCGAAATTATGGAATAAGTTTAAACTTTTAAACAGCTTCAATCCCGAGTTGTAATGACCAATTAAATAAATTTCTATATAATTTAATTTTAGGATGGTATTTAAAAAATAAACAAAATCTTAATTAACGAAGCTTTGGATTTGTTTAATATATCATTAATCTCAATATTGAAGTTTCGTTATGTAACCTTGTCATATCAAGGCTATATTGAAATATCGATTATAAAGTTATTTTTGAAATTAAGCAAATGATTCAATCATACTTTCCGGCAAAACCTAAAATCACAAAAAATTACTGGTTATAAATATATCTCATTTGTTTAAATATAAAGTTTTTGAGATGTTCGGGCAGAAAGTATATACTTAACAATAATAAAGTATTAAGAGTGATAGCACTAGTTATTATTTCTAAAAATAAAACGCCAATAGTAAAACCTCAAAATAATAACTTCCAAAAAATAACTCCAAAATAATAACTTCAAATAATAACATAGATTTCAAAAATAAATTGAAACTAATAATTTTAAAAGCAATGATTGTAAAAGTGATAATTCTAAAACAATCTAGAAGAATCTATCTTAGAATTGGTGTATAAAAATCATACGGCTGTTC